TGGTCTTCTCCATAGTCCGCACACGATCAAACCACCAAAGAGGAGTTTCTATCATCTTCTCCCTTATAGGAGCAACAACAACTTACTCCTCAATACTTATGTTTTCTTGTTCCTAATCTTTTATCTTTTCTTATATGTTCATTTATCCACTTCAATAAGTTACACCGATATTTTCCTTTGTTGTCCTACATTCTATCTTAGAATTTGTTTAGATACAAACTAAAAATGTTTTTAAGAATTTTTTTTACTGAAAATAAAAAGTATTTTCTAGTAGAAAAATTTCAAAAAATAGTTTTAGATTGTATTTAAACATGCATTTAGAGTATCATGGGCATTTCAGTTGTCCGATAGAAAATAGCTAGTCACTTAACCATCATACATCTAAAGTATTTCTCCACTTTATCTATGCAGCTCAAATCCCAAGTTTTAGTGTTTTGTACATCCCATTAATCCAGGTCCCAAGATACCTAAATCATGGAACTTGTGGTACAATGTGATGGGATCCATAATTTTCACCTCCAAAACATTGCTAACATATACCCCTCTAACTCCTATTTAAATAAAATAATAACTTATGCAACAAGTAGACAAAAACATTTGAACCCTTATGGGAATTTCGGATTTAGGGTTTACGGTTGCCTGCAGTTACATAAATTATTTAGATCATATCACTGGTAAATTGCAAGCAAAGCAAGTTCAATGCAATGCACCTTCGCTCTTCCTCAATAAAGACTATTAATATCAATATATGATCCATCACGAAAATTTGACATATTCTAACAATCTAGAGGAAACTTGCATAACAATGGAATACACATAAGGGAAAAGGTTAAACGCATATTGATTCAAATCTCTTGATCCCATTTCAACGTGGGGGAGAACCCAGTAAAATAAAATATAGTTTTTAGGATTTAATGGAGGATATTGATGAAAGAAAATAAAGGGTGTTGAAGAATGGAAGTACGTGGGAGTGAGTTGTGACGAAGGAGCACCGAAAGGGATGGGATTTGAGAGGTGTGGTGGGTCCTCAAGCCTTCCCAAATCCCTCATAGGACGCCATTTTTCTTCCTCTTCAAATGATTTCTTGTTCTTGTTTTCTTCACTTGGGTTGAAAGAGACTAACAATGAGAGGACTTAAAATAAATTAAAATTTATCATTATTTTTTTTAGTTTTGAACCCATGTGATGGGAATCTACTATATTGAATAAAAATCCAATACTCACATTAGTTGTTATACACTAAACCACTACTTTCACATTTTTTAGTTATCTCTAAGATTAATTACCCTCATCTCGCAATTCTTCTAGCTTGTTACATCTATAGCTTTCTTTCTCTTTCAATAGTGAACAGTTCTTCCAACAACTGTGGAACATGTATTCCTCATGTTTTCTATTTGCTTTTTTTTTGCAACCTTCATTACACTCGATTCTGTTGTGGACATTATATATGAAAAAGATAGAGACAGGTACCACAAACAAATTTGGAAGGATATGAAAACAATTTTGACTCACAAATACCACAAACAAACACCGATAATACTACTCGACCAGCAAGGCTAGTTCATCACTCACATTGTGATGTTACTACAAATAGAGTTGAAAGGTTTGGGCAAAAGAGTAAATTTCAATGGTGATGCTTCTAACACAAATATCGAAGAAACCCGAGAGTGAGTTTGGTGACCAAATTGAACAAAGTACAAAAAATTACTCTAATAAAAACAAAATAGTTTGTAATTGTTGCAACAAGTTAGTCATCCGTGTATTGATCCTTGATAAAAAAAAATGGTGAATTACTTGAATTCAACCACAAATGAATGGAAGGTACTTTGACGGCTATTTTTGTAATTGTAAACATAAATACTGGTATATATAAATAATTTTAAAAATATTTAATAAAAATAATAAACGTTATTATTATCGATAATTTTACTGCCTCAAATGATACACTGGTGAGGCACTTACCTATATACTTTGCCGTAGAAGTGCGTGAAAATATTCCTCAAATGAAAAAGATATTTGTGCTCAAGTTTTAGGTTTAGGTAAACATTTTCTTTGATAGAATTTAGAAAAATACTTGTTGATGTTTATGAGAGTGTTTGATAAAATTTATAAAATATCTTGAAAATAGTTCATAATATATTTAGGTTTATTTTGATAAATTTATACAAAAATTTAGAAAAATATCTGTGTTCAAATCTTGTCATCAACATAATTTCTTTTAATTCTTTCATTAAAAGTCAACTATTCCTTTTCTTTATAGCATAAAGAGGTTTTCATTCCTTCCTCAAAAAAAAATTGTTGTTTCTCTTAATTTAATTTTCTCATTTCCTCTAATTTTTTCTCTTTATTTTTTTTAAATTTTTTCATTAATAACTAGTTTTATATATTTTTTCTTACTTATAGAGGTTTTCGTTTTTTCTTACAATAATTTTTTAATCACGATTTTATATAACATATGAAATTGACTTAATCTTAGTTACATATATATATATATATATATATATATAATTGATTTATCATATTTTATTGTTAGTTTAATTATTTTATAAATTAAAATTAGGTAAATGGTGATTAGTAAGTTTTTTTATTATAAATATTAGTGTTATATAGTTTTTTTAAATATTTAGTTACTTTTAAATTATTACTATTTTTTAGATTTAATTTGTAATTATTTTTATTTTTCAAATGAGACAATATCTTATAAGTGATTAAATAATAATATATTCAAACACTCTAAAATGGTACAAGTTTTTGTCAACATGTATATCCAGTTGTAATAACTTAAATTAAATTTTTAAATACTTATAACATGTTTTCATTACATCGAAGATAATTAAAGATGTTAATTAAGTTATTTAATTTTTTATTTATTAAATCTTTCTAAATCCGAAATCATTCTCTAATTGTTTGATTTTATTCGATTAACAATAAATTCTAAGAGGGTGTTTGGTAGTAGGAAAATTTTTTCATGTATGAGAATCATGGCTCCTAAAAATCAAGAATCATAAAAATTTTGTGACTTATTAAATCTAGTTAGTTTGTTGTAAATATTTTTAAAAATATTTATGAATATTACTTGATAATAAAATATTTTTACTGCATAACGTAATATTACAGTCACTAGTAGAAAAAAAAACTTTTAAAATCGGTTATTTTTAACTTTTAAAATCGGTTCTCTAACCGATTTTACCGATTTTAAAAGAGCCGATTTTAAAAATCTAACTTTTAAGATCAATTATTTATAATCGATCTTAAAAATCCTTGCTTCTAAAAAAATAAAACTGGAATAGACCGTTTCAGGTTGTTAAAAAGACCTAAAACTGTCGTTTGGAACGAGTCGTTCCAGCATAGTTTGTCATGAGTTAAAACCTATGCAAAACAGTCCATTCTCCTTGCAGAACAGGCTGTTCTCATTGCAGAACTGGTCGTTCTCCTCACCGGCCGTTCTCATTGTAGAACCCTAAATTCGAAATTTACCAGAATAAACCAACAACGAAACTAGAGACACGAGAAGAGCATGAGAATGTTACCTTGATATACTAGTCTTGCAAAGAAAATGAGAAGTTGGAGACTTTAGATGAGAGCACGAGAGAGTAAAAAAAGGAATGGAGGGAAAGATCAAAGAGAATGAGAATGGAGGGAAAGATAAAAGGTTTCTGACGATACTTTTAAAATCGGTTATTTAAGAACCGATTTTGTATATATACAAATTCAGTTCTTAAATAACCAATTTTAAAAGTAACACTTTTAAAATCGGTTCTTAAATAACCGATTTTAAAAGTAGCACTTTTAAAATCGGTCATAAAATAACCAATCTTAAAAGTACTTTAAGATCGGTTAAAATTTAATCGATCTTAAAAGTTTTCATATTATTTACAAAATTATTACTGCGTCACTTTTAAGATCGGTTACCTTTTAACCGATCTTAAAATTCCGATTTTAAATCTAATTTTTGCACTAGTGAGTAAAACATTAATTTTAACTTAAGAATGTTAGTTTCTCACTTATCTTTCATGAGAATAATTTGAAAAGAAATCTATATAAAAAAACATCATTGGAACACCATGTGTTCCTAGTAATGTTATTCTTTATATGAGAAACAAACATTTTAAATTTGAGATTATTGGTAAAAATATTTTGCATGTCAATATTAAGAATAATAATAAAACTATTTTACAATAGCAATATTAAATGATACTAATTGTAATTAATTCATAATTAAAACTATTTTATATTAGTGAGCATAACCATTAGACTTAAGTGAAATGCCACATATCATTTAATAAATCTCTTTCATTAATTAACAATAAAACTCATTAAAATTTATGATTTTTTATTTAATAAGAAAAATATCAAGAAAAAAATGTTAAAGATAATGTTAGAGATCCAAACTTGAATTCATATAATAAATGAATTAATTTAAACAAGAATCAAATTATTAATTTATTTTATGAGGAATGATAATAATACATTCTCTAATACAGTCATGGAAAATTACAAAATAAAAAAGAGAGTTTTTAAATAAAGAATGAGATATACTAAATTTTAACCATGTTTTAAAAAAGTGTGTGCTAACATTGATTATTGGCTTAAATATGTTTTTAGTTCTTAAATTTAGAATAAATTTATTTTTTGTCTTATAAATTTAAAATTATTGTTTTTAATCCTTATAATTTCATAAAAAAAATATTATTTTAACCGTTATATTCAAATTTTGTTAAGAAATTTATCAAATATTATTGTATAAAATTTATCTATTAATATCTCTGATAATGAAAACATCACATTAAATTTAGTTGATATTACATAACCGTCTTAAAACAAGATTAAAAATTACAGAACTAAAAATAATAATTTTAAATTTTAAAAATCAAAAATAAATATATCTTAAATATAAGAAATAAAAAATATATTTAAGTTTTTATTATTTTATAATTAGAGTACAGAAATAGTTAGAATAAGGCGTGAGAAAGGAAGTTGATGAGCGTGCGACGTGTCCCAATGGAGACCCAATTTTCCGTCCAAGTTGATTAGCATCTAATATTTCTGGGCACTATATAACCGGTTTTTGTCCATTCTGTCGTGGATCATCCGAAAAATGGCAGCACCATCGCCGATTCATAAAACAGAAGAGGAATGGAGGCTCCTTCTCTCTCCTGACCAGTTTCGGATCCTTCGCCAGAAAGGAACTGAGTAAATTCCCAATCTTCTCATTCTATTGTATTCACAATTCTTATTTATTACACTCTCTTTTCCCTCTATATGCTTCATTGCCTGCATCTCATCATTTTTTCTTTTGGGAAGGGGTTGCTCAGCTTTTTGGGTATGAATTTTAAGATAATCTTCATCAAGATGGAAGATCAAGTGTGTATTTTTTGGATGGAAATCTATAAAATTTATTTTGAATGAAATTGATTTTAAAATTTAAATAATAGGAGTGCCGTTTATGTTTAATTGTTTTTATTGTGAAGGCTTAATAATAAAATTTAAGTTAGTAGTAAAGCTTGTTTTCAAATTTTTGGTTCACTGCAAAAGTTGGTTAATCTTGTTTTAACTGAAAATTAACTCTAGATCCCGAATCAATTCTTTAACTTGAAATTATTCATGTGAATGTTTATTTAAATAACATCTGTTTGTATTTGAATGTGATTTTAGATTGCCTCAATGTGAAAAATGCACACACTGTCTCTAAGAAGTGCGAAGTGTAAAGGTGGATAGTTTTTTAGACACAGCATCACTGGGTGGTGAACTTTTGGGGGTAAATGATGAGATTGCTCTCGTGCAGATTCGTCTCTGTTTTGTGCAGCTTTTATTTAGTTCCATGCATTCTCTTGTTGGTAGTGTTTTATTGGAAATTAGAGGTGCTATTTAATTTATCTTTCCTTGAATAAGATGTTTATACATATTTGGATTGCATGCTGTTTTGGCTTGCAAAGTGTTCAATTTTATAAAACACTTGCCCTTCAAGCCATGAAATTGGTTTACAATTACATGAGTTGGATTGTAAATTTGCATGCACTGGGAACATGTGCAGATTGAAGGGTACAGGAGAATATAACAAGTTTTTTGAAGAAGGAGTTTACAACTGTGCTGGCTGTGGAACTCCTCTTTACAAGTCTTCCACCAAATTTGATTCTGGTTGTGGTTGGCCTGCTTTCTTTGAGGGTTTTCCTGGTGCCATCAACCGATCCGTGAGTGGTTTTTTGAAAACTTGTTATTGAATGCTCATTTTGCCTTGTCTGTAACATTTTTGGTTTGAAACTGGAATTAGAATTGTTTGGATGGCTTTAACGATTTTAGTTATTCAAATTTAAAATGGATATTTTTAGTTTCTGCAATTTAAAAAACACTTGTTTGTTTAGGATCACCAGTAATATTGACTAAGAGTTTGTTTAAATACAAGCTTAAAAACACTTTTAAGTGTTTCTCCTTGGAAAATACTTTTCATTTTTAGTAGAAAAACTCTTAAAAAGCTTCTAACTTATATCTAAACAAACTCCAAGATAGACTGAGTGAGCTGTGAGCCGAACAACAGGAAATGAATCCCCTCACACCTACCACCATCAACAACTCACACCTAGCTTTTTAATTCCTTTTTATTTTTAATTAGGGATTGAGATTTCGAACAAAAATGTCATATGAGAGGATCTAAATCCCTGTGCAACATTGGGTTTAGATCCTATCATGCAACATTTTTGTTAAGCGAAATCTCAACCCTTCAAATAAAAAAGAGAGAGAGAGAGAGAATTTAAATAATAAAAAATAGAAGGCATGAGATTTTAATGGTTGAAATTTTCACATGAAAACCCAAATAAAAATCCCACGTCTCTCCATTCTTGTGTAACATTAGCTAAGTTTGTTGTGATGTTAAGTAACGATGACATTAATTAATAGTTGGGTTTTGTGTGACAAATCATACTAGATGAATTTTGTTTGACAAATTCACTAACTCAATCCCACATGTCTCTCCATTTCCATGTAACATCAATTAAGTTTATTGTGATGTTTTTTGTGTGACAAATTATAATAGATGAGTTTTGTATGAGAAATTCAATAACTACATTTGAGTATGGTAGAAGAAAAGGATTGAGTTGTTTTTTCTTCAAATTTCAAGACTAAAAAAATCATTTTAAATTTGAAGGTCAAAAAACAATTTCAATTCATTTCATATTTGAGACACTAAAAACAACTTTAAACAATATTGAATTGATGGAACTTATGATTTTCAGCCTGACCCAGACGGGAGGAGGACTGAGATAACTTGTGCAGCCTGTGGTGGGCACTTGGGTCATGTTTTCAAAGGAGAGGGATTCAAGACCCCAACTGATGAACGCCATTGTGTGAATAGTGTTTCTGTCAAATTTGTTCCCGGCAATGCTATTGCTTCAATATGATGCCTTACTTTATTGTAGGTGTCTTTTGAATGATTGTCTTGTTTGTAATCTTATTGTGGTTTTAAAGACAACTAGCTTAGGCGAATGGAGATAAGCTTGAACGACTGAGCAAGTGCTGTACTTTGAATCAATAAAATCATTTTCTTCTTGTCTTTTCATGGCTTTCCCTGTTTCATCTAGTAACGATTTTGTAGGTCTGTGCTGCCTGTGCATGAATCATATGAGATCTTAAAGCTGTTACATTGAAAAAAAATATTTTTTTCACATGGTACACATATTTTAATATAAAATCTATTATTATTGAGATTAATCTGAACACATCTCAATCACATTTAATGATTTAAAGTTAAATATATCATAATTAATTTTACCAAAATCTAAGCGTATGTCAACTATGAGAAAGATAACACGACTTACCACTAGTTTGGATTTGCTATTTGAACTTAATCTTGTTAGAGGCCATGAAGTGAACATGATTTGAAATTTGTGCCAACATTTACGACGATTTTAGAGCAAGTTTCTTTTTGCATTGATATTATATTTTATTAAGGATTATTCTCGCTGCTATTGTGGTTAGGAAAAATCGTTTAAATACGTATTAATAAAAGTATCTAGACAATTTAACATTATATAATTAATTTAATAACATTGCGTACCCGTGTTAATAATTATATGTCTAAAAGCAATTTTTTATCAAAATTATCTAAATAATATTTAATGTATTAAAATTGCTTTAATGCACTCAAACACATCCTTTGATAAGATCAAATTTGTAAAGTTAATTTTATTCAAATTAATTTGGTAATATTGTTATTATTTTGTTTAAGGGCAAAAATAACCTTTTGTACTTTGAAAGCATACTCAAGATTTTAAGTTTGAATCGTGATATCATCATTATAGTTTTAACGTATATAAAAAAAAAGAATAGGATGCTTAATACTTTATATTTTTGGATTTTTGCATTGGAGAAAATTTAATTATATAATAATTCGTTTTTTTTAGATTTAATTATATTTTTAGTCCTCCTAGTTTATGTTGTTATATATTTTTTTATCTCTCAAATTTAAAACTTGTGTTTTTTAGTCTTTATAATTAAAAAAAAAATATTGTTTTAGTCTCTATACTTATTTTGTCTCACAAATTTAAAACTTCTATTTTTAGTTCAAAAATACAAAAAAAAAAAATATTATTTAAGTTTCAATGTTAAAATGTCAATGATAAATCTGTTAAATAAAATTCAGCTATTGTTGAATTTGCCACACATAATTCCCTTATTAGTATTCTTGTTTTTAAAAACATTTTATTAAATCATATTTTTTTCAATAATCATGCATATTTTTTTAAAATAGGCTCATTAATTGTGGGGTCATGGACTTCGCGAGTCGACTCACGAACATGAAAATACTTACTCACTTCTAACTAATACTAATTAACTGTCTCAATCTGTCATTATTAGTCATGTTATTAGTGGCATTGGGAGACTTAAACAATATTTCTGGTAATTATATAACTTGAAAGATAAATTTTAAATTTGAGAGATTAAAATAATAATTTTTACTATTTTGTGGACTACAATTATACGTTTTAAATTTGAAAGACAAAAAAAAAACCTAAATTTAAATGACTAAAAACATAATTAAGCCTTTATTTTAAGAATAAATATATTTAATATATTATTGTCAAAAAATATTAGTTACACTTTTTAATTGTAATTGTATATTTTTTATTTTATAATTTAACTACGTATAATATTAAAATTTATATATTATGCTTAAAAAATTAAATTAATTTAGTTTTATCTGAATTTATAAAGTTTTGATCGACTCAAGTTTGCATTCACAAAATTAACTTTAACTCTATCAAACCCCGCTACAAAAATCGTTTTTCAATGACGCTTCTAAAGGGAAACTCCACATAGACGACTTCATGAAAAAATAAAGGCAACCTCCAAATCACACATTGACAAAAACGCCCTCAGATCCAATGGCACTACACTAAAAGCCTCTACAAGCTCTATAGAAAATAGGTCCAATTCTAGGTTAGGCCCAATGCTTTGGTGTTGAGGTGACCATGGCAACGTGTTGTTAGAGTTTTTCTAAAAGCTCCCTTAAGATGATGCCACTTAGTGTGAGAAACAGGACAAGGGTGTGGAGAGGAAGCGTGAGAACTGGGAAGGACGCAATTGCATGCGATAAACACATAAGGTTGTGAGGATCGAACAAATGAACTAAAAACACATTCACCCCAAAATTATTTATCAAAAAGTGCTTCCCTTAAAGATTGAGAACCATTGGGCTTGCTCCATGTGCCATTTTGACTAACAATTAGTTTGAATAGCGACTATTTTGATCAACAATTAGTTTCACTAGGAAATTAGTTTATGCTTTTTTTATAAAATAAAAATTTTAACCATAGTCAACATCATTACATTAACTAATTACTACTTTGACTAACATCATTACACATGTCTATATTTTTCTCTTATTTTGCTACTCAACCTGTCATGATCTGGTAATTGTGTAATCGTTATACTTGATGTATCCTTGAAGAGGATTTGAAACTCAAGGCTCTTTATCTTTATAATTGCCTGGTACTCAAGTTCTTTCTCTTTCATCTTCGCCTCGTACTTGAGCTCTTTTTCCTTAATCTTCACCTGATACTCAAACTCTTTCTTCTTGATGTTCAATGTTTTCTCCTTCAGCTTGTTCCTTTCATTCTTGACATGGACAAAATCTTCTATAGCTGAAATTTTTAACTTTTGTTCCTTATCCCTTGCAATTAAATCAACATATATGCAGAAGATGTTTCATTTGTTTTTGATTTTCTCTTTCTCTTTGTTGCTTTTGTCACTATTGGACATTCTAAGGTAGATAAAGATTGGTCGGAACTTGATGAAAGCATGGTGGTTTGTTGTTGCATTTGTCTCTCTATTATCAACCTCATGTATTGTTCTTCATAATCATCATTCATTAAATCTTCGATGATTTGTCACTCAAGTTCATCTTCATAAGATGAATCGTTGGAGTCCATTTGAAGGAATCTTGTAAAGTTTAAGTTTTAAAAGAGTTTGAAAAGATGATACTTGTTTACACAAATGAGAGGTTTAAAAATCATGTTGCATGCAACAAATATATAAAGAGAGACAACACTATGACTAATTTAAATAACAGCTAGTTTAAGTAACCACTAGTTTAAATAACAACTAATTTGACCAACATTTTTGTTTGTTGAGAAAATACCAACAACTAGATTAACAGCTAATTTGACCATTACAATAACTTTAAACTTTATTTATTAAAAGAATATCGAGAAGCATTTGGCATGCCTGTTTTGCCATTGCTGTTCCAACTTTCAATTCGTTCTTCATCCGAATTCAAGAAAAAAGTAGTTTCTAAAGAGGGTAGCATTTAGGCTAAAAGATCAAAGGCTGCACAAATAACATTTATAAGTGCAAATTTTACTTTTGAAACTGTACTTTATGTAGAAGATGATAAAAACTGAGTTATTTCTTAAAATAAATAAACTAAGTATGTCCTGAATTTACTTATTTTTGGTAGATGGAGAAAACATGTACTGATTTAATAAAATAAGAAAGTAATTATTCATCGATACTTTTAATATATATGCATCGGTAATTATTTTTAATAAAAAAATTTAGTATAAATGAATAATATTTTTCAGTTGACAAATAGAAATAAATAGTTTTCGCGACTTAAAAATCAATGTCATTAAAGTGAATTTTCTCTTTTATGTTATTTTTAGTGGATAATCTAATTTTGTTAAACTAACGCAATATTAACTAGTGTTCCTTTTTTGTACTGTATATGACATTAGTGGTTAAGATTCAAAATTAATTCTTATTATTGGATATCAAGGATATAGAGGAATAGTTATAATCGGATAACATTATTTGTAGTTTAAGTCTATTGAATAACGGTGTGTTGATAACTTGATAGTATTAAGGTTATCTTCCCATTCCACCCTTTTATCTTTCAAAGTATCACATATTATTTCTATGAAAGTGAATATGGGTATAGTGCAAGTCCTGTCATTCTAAGGGTGCTAACTAATTACTGGTTGCAAGCTACTTTGTTTTAATAAAAAAAGAAACATATTTCAACTCTATAACTTGACTAAGATTTATTGTCAATCTAATGTAAGAAGATTTAAAAGAAGGTGAATGTGTAAAATAAAGGGTGGAAGGCGTTGATGAAGAAAAAAACAAAGGAAAAGGCAGGAAAAAAGAGAGGGAAGTAGAAAGGTGAAACATGTTGATAAGGACCAACATATAAAAGAAATTGTTCATATAAGAACTAAAATGAGTAATGTCTATATGTAGTGATTAATACATACCATGCCAACAATTCATCAACGCCACGTTATTATCATTATTTTTTTTAACAAGAACCACAGGAGGATTTGAAGTGCTTGTATAAGAATTAAAATAGATATTTTTTTTAAGTATAATTGCTTAAAGGTAAAATTTGTTCAACTATAAAAAGTAAATAAATAATTAAACTTTTTATTTTATTTTACATGTACTCCGTCACCAGTAATTACAAATAATTTTCTTTTCATTCCAATTTAAAAGATACAAAAGCATGCGATATGTAACATGTTATCTGAGGACATGTACAAAAGCGAATCATGAGCATTCTGGCGTAGGTATGCAAAGTTAATTGGATTTTATGCAACCACTACCAAATTCTTTATTGTGTTTGGAGTTTATAGTCTCTCCCGTCTTTTTTATAACAACAAAAAAAATAAAGATATTATTTCGTTTATTCTTTTTTATAATAATCAATCTAGATGTTTCATGCATTAATTATTTCTCCCAAATGCAATGAATTCAACATTATAACAGTGTCTCTGAATATTTGAAAATGTGTTGGTGTTGCTTGTTTGTTATTTCTCTCTTATATAATTTACAAGTTAGTCATCATAAATTACATTTTTTCCTAGAGACAAATTATAACATAGCGAAATAATTGAACTGTGGTAGGCAATTGGACCCTTGTCTGTAACGCCTTTTCACATCATAAATATTTTTGATGCATCAGGAGCGTATCTATAAAAATCTGCCCCACAAGTCCAATCCATACCTAATACCACTATATTGCAGTATCAATTATTACTACGAGTTCATATCCTTTTTGTTTCGAATACTTCAAAATACGAAGATAATAAGGCTGTTTTATCAAGTCTCCTCGTTACATTTGCAGCTATATTCAAATAAAAACACCCATGGCCTCGCATGTAAAATGATAATTTCACTTGTGACAGAGTCTCATGCAAAATAAACATATGTAACTAGATCAAAATCATGGTGTCAAATTGCAGAGCACTTTCCGAGTTATCATTCAAATAGCACACTATCACCAAACGACAAGACACAATCCAAATGATTTTAGAAGTAGTAAAAGCATGTTAGGGAGGTCATTGCTCTAACCTAGGAGAACACTGCTTATTTTGTATATCTATCAATCTATGATATAAATGTCCCATTTCCCTAAGTTCAATCTCAGTCACATAAAATTGAAAAATGCTTTTTGGTGGTGGTGGCTGGGGGTTGTCTATACATCATTGTGGCACCACGAAGTATAGCTAGGAATCACAAGCACAAAATGTATAATCTCAGCCAACTAGAAGAAGAAAAAAAAATCCATCTCAGCAAATTCCTACTTTCCTTGCATGTTCTTTCTCTTTTCAAAGCATTCCCTCAAAGCATGTACTTCTGTCAAGAGTTCACCAATAGTTAACAGTTATTATTTATTTATCTCGTTGCAAAACTGCAATGGGTTAATTCAATTACAATCATGACATGACACGTAAACTTTCTGAAGAAAATAACTTATATTTCCATGAATTCCACCGATACAGACATTCAAATGGAGAACACGATGCACACACAGAAAGGAACAGAGAGAGTGTGAAAAATGGATAGAGTACCTGGCTGGCACACTTTCCAATTCCTGTTTGATCGAGCAACGCAATCCTGAAAATTAGAAAAAGAAATATCCTCAATGAATGGAGGTGTTCGATGAATCTAAAACTCTAGGGTTTAGGGTTTTAGGGAGGGGAAATGAGAAAGGCGATGAGGAGAACCTGCATCAAGCGATAGAGAGAAGAGCATTCATCCAGCTGATTAACGTTTTCGTCATCCTCGTCGACGTCGCTCTGGTGAGGGACTTGCGGCGGCGGCGGCGGCGGCGGCGATCGTTTTGCTTCGGTCTGGTTCGCCGGTAGGTGCTCCATTTTAACTGCAACCGGTTCACAACCTCTTTAAATAGTGCATTGACAAAAATGACGCTTCACTAAACGACAATATGTCATTAGCGTTCATTTACACCAAAAACAATAAATAAATAAATAAATAAATAATTAGCGTTCACACTTTTTTTTTTAATTGCACTTCTAGTCTTCTACGGCTTTCATGATATGAATTTAGATGCATTCCGTAGAAAAGAAAAATGAATAAATAAGAAATATGATTAAATATGTTTTTGTCGTTAGAATTTTGTCAACTTTTTTTTATTATTTTTAAATAAGTTTTATTTGATAATAATCTGTGAAAATTTTCTTCATAAATAAAAATTTTGACTTTAAAACTAAAATGTTAATGAAGAAAAAAACTCAAAAATGAGAATCCACAAAAAAATTTAGGACCGAAGTTAGTAAAAAAGTTGTCTAGAAACTAAAAATAAAAAATTTACAAAAGTTCAAAGACTAAAAAATTATATTTAATCCTAAGAAATATTAGAAGTAGAAATAGAAAAGATAAATGAAAATTAGTGAAAAAATATTTTGTTTTAAAAAAAATAAGGAAATGTAAAAGAGATAAATATGTGAATGAAATATATGAGGAAAAAAAATGAGTCTCACATTTTTTTATTTCTCTTCTCTTATTTTCTTTTTATCAAATATATTTTTTAATCAATTTCTTTCTCTTGTCCACTTTTCAGATATAAGATGATTTTTCAAATATATATATTTCTTAACCGACAATTTAGGGTTCATTTTGTATATAGTACTTATTCTTGTGTATAGTTAATATATATATATGAAACTAGTATAGTTTTCCTTGCATATAATTGTGTGCACGAATAATCATAATTATTTGGTTTCCAAGTAAAATTCTCCCTCAATTCCAACAATATACATTCAACCATAATTTTAGAAATCAATAATAGATTACGCAGACACACATGAATAGAGAGGGAATGAAAAATGGATACCATACCTAGCTGCCATTCTTTTTAGTTACTCAATACCAAAAAAAAAATTCTTTTTAGTTACTATTATCTCACACATTGCAATCTTAAAGATTAAGGGAAATAAATCCAATCCAAATTGACGTATTCGATGAATATAAAATGTGAGGGATTAGGGTTTTGATTATGACATAATAATTAAATAACACATAATATTAAGATGTATATGTAATAAACACAAATTACATATTATCATGCATATGACACCAGTAAAAAAACATACATTATACTTGTGCATTATCATTAGCAATACACATAAAGTAGTTTAGGAGTACATATTAGGTCACACTCTTAACGTACTCTCACTAGAAAAACATATTACTAGAGTTTGGTTAGGATAGTTGAGTCGCACTAGATATATCCCATGCACGCAAAGGGTGAGACTGAAACTTTCAAACCAAACTATTCTCAAGGATATCCCCGAGTTTTTTCACAATGGGGCTTTCACCGACCATATATTCCATAACGTATCCTTAAAAACACTTTTTATGCATATGATGCAAGTCAATAGACTCTATGCATAACAATTCACATGATCTCATTAATTCACAAATCACATGTCTTATCATATCACATTATCACATCATTTCATTGTTAATTGACCTCATATCATATAATCACCAACTATTCTCAATACAACAATTAACAATTCAATTATGTTAATTAAATATTAGCAATCAATATTAATTACACACTTTCGTGATTTAAACACAACAATTATACAACATCCTTCGATACATCTCAAGATAAAATCATTATAAAATTGTCTAATCCTAATTATATGTCAATACCTCAAATTGCTAGCAATCAACTTGCATCATAACTTATTAACAATTAATTTCTCTCATTATCTATCTTTCATAAACATTGATATAGATACCTCGAGTCATTCATAAGATCAAACATTTAAACGGTAAAGTTAATCATAATCACCATTCACAAACTACATTTTCAAAACTTAATATTCTAAGACATTGTGTGGTCCAAACACCTTATCTAGAGTTATATATTTGCTATCAAATTGATCTTAATTTTCTTAGAAATCTAAAAGAATCGTCTTCATATTCTATGTTTATCTCAAGAATTAATTTTGCTATCTATTATTTTTTAAACATACAAAATTGAAATGTTTAAGCCTAAATCTAGCCTTCATTCACTAATTTAATCATAGCCCAAGTTATAGACCCCTTTTTAGGTGATTTCAATGATATTTGAAAGCTAACATCTAAGGCTACAACTCTTATGAAGACACTAAAGGCTAATTCAATCATTTATGATGGTTGCACGGGTGTGCAAGTGCGATTCAACACATGACTTATCAACACAAGCGTACCAATTACAATCCTGGGGTGTAATTCACTGCAATGAAGTGCAAAAATTGCACATGACAAACTCAAAACCCTAAAACTTCAAACCAATCTATAAAGATCAGGATTAAAACTTAACATTACTCTATTATACCATCAATTACTCCAATTTAATCTCAATTTCACATTCTAATTATATATTCCTATTAACTACTCACACGATAACTATTTAGGGTTCCTACAAGAACACCAAAACATACCATTTCATGCCCATTTTCAAAAATTATCAACGTATAATACATTTTATATCAAATATAACATACAAGGAAAACACAAAGAAGATAAAGACACATTTGGGAAAAACCCCTCATACTTAGACATATAACAGAGACATGATTAAAGGTCAATCCAACTACCCAACATATATTCCCATACCCAAAACAAGGTTTCTCACTTTCCCTTTTACCTTGTTGGACATAAAAGATTGATGAGCGACTTTGGGATGGTTCTTTTCTTACTCTTGTTCTTGGAGCTCTAAATGTAGTATGCATATGTGAAAAGAGAAAATGTGTAAAAAGAAAAAAGCATAAAACTGATTAGAAAACTATTTACTTAAAACATTAATCTCTCTTCCCTTAATCCTGAGTTTAAACTTACTTAACCATAGTTATAAAACTCTTCCCTCACTTAATAAAATAAATACATCATTTAATTTAAAACCTTATAATACATATCCTTATACATATAAAATAATTAAAACAATTATTAAAATCAATTCAGTTAATCATAACAAAATACAATAATTAATAATTAACAATATATATATATATAT